TGAGCCTGGAGCACAAAAGCAGTCTTAAGTCGCTGGGGTATATTTGTAGCAATAGCCAAAATTACATTGTATGGGTCAAAATTATTGATTTTTCTTTTATGCCAAAAAATCATTAGGATATTAAGTAAAGATCATGTTCCATAAATATATTTTGTCAATTTCCTACTGAAAATATATTAAAACTTAATTTTTGATTAATAATATGCATTGCTGAAAACTTCATTTGGACAACTTTAAAGGCGATTTTCTCAATATTTTGATTTTTTTGCCCCCTCAGATTCCAGATTTTCAAATAGTTAAAAGTAAAAAAAAAAAAAAAAAGTTAACCCATCCTAAGTGCACACACACAGCAGTGAACACACACACACCCGGAGCAAAATTTACCCTTATGACTGGTTTTGTGGTCCAGGGTCACATTTTATATGTACAAATATATAGCCATGGCCCATGCATATATTGCAGTATACTGATAAATATAAACACTAGTCAATACTAGTCACTAGTCAAAATCAAAATATCATAAAAAAAACCTTTACCTGTTGTGCTCTGGAAAGATGATAGAGATGACAAACACCTGCAATGTGAGCTGTCACAGCAGCTATTGTCCATTAGATGGCAATGTTACATTTGATGCATATAGTTTGAAACTTAAAGGTCCAGTTAGTGCATGTCAGTGCTTGTCACATGGTCACTGAGCTGAGCTGATGCCAGTATTCCAGAACTTCGCTTGAATCACCTGAATATTTATGCATGAAAATTTTTCACTTAAAATTTGCACAGGTGCGTACACACTTAGGCGTACATTTGCTCTAAGCCTCGTTCTAATTGTTGATGAATTTAGATTATTCTTAATGAGGCGAATGCTCACAATTAAATTTTCAAGTAATCTGAATAAAACACAACTTTTTGTACAACTTCACCTCTATCTTTTTGTTCTCTCGCTCACCGGAGAGCATGCGCAGCAAGATCTCAATTACAGGTCATGCTTACTAATGTATTTAGTTGCTGCTGTTGTTGTTTAATTGGATTCACAAATAAGTTGTTTCTAAACGTGCTGTGATTTATTTGGGTGCATCTGTTTTTTAGTTGGTCCTACATTTTACTGTAAATTTAAAATACATTTTTGTGCAAATCACTTGATGAATCAGGATTTCTGTGTAAAACGTTTGTGTGTGGTTTTTATGCCGAAATTCTGTGTATGTGTGAAACCCAGTGTAACATGGCTACATCTGTTCCCTTTGCACAGAAATGTTTGACCACAAATCCAAACACAAAGACAACACTAAACAGGGAGCAGTGAAATTGAGTGTTCAGAGAGTAAAGTACACAGAGTGCCATGTCATTACA